TGGAGGGAGGCTGTTGGTGGGGGCTGCTCTTGAGAAGCTCTGCTGTCAGGGGCTGCCAGATCCTGACCTGATGGAGCTGTGTGTGCGCAGAGAGAGGCGCGAACCTTGCTGGTGAGAGCCCTCCCTGGAGGGCTCGAGAAAAATCCCTGTAGGCTGCTGCTTTCTGGGGGTTTCTTTCCTTCTTCCTCTCCTTTTCTTTCTTTCTTTCTTTCCAACCGTTCTGAACACCTGTCCATTGTTTATTTGATCTATTCTTGTCTTATTTTGAAGGTCTTGGACAAATGTTCTCAGACTCTGATGTGCTCTAAGTTTGTTCCAGTCCCAGATGCTTTAATGTTACCGTGCAGCATTTCCGTGTGTGTTGTGCTGTAAAATAATGGCTCCTTACTCTTGCATTTTTGCTGTATTTAATTTTGCTGTATTTTTAATTAGATACCAATATATTCCCTTCTGCTGAGCGTTGTGCTCCCCGTTGTTTCTCCTCTGTCCTAGGGGCAGGGGCAGAGGGGAGGGAAGGGGAGTCTGGCATCATGTTGAGGCCCCAGGGGAGCCTTGAGCACCGGGTCGGGGTGAGGCCCGAGAACCATCTTGGGCGCTGCTCAACTGCCTCTTAATTAATGCTGCAGCCGGATGCTCGGGTGTGGGTGTTGCCCACGGTACTGCTGTTGGGGGGTGTACCTTGCCTCCCCAAGCAGCCTCTTTGCTCCGGGCTTTGCTGTGTCTGTATTTTAGCTGAGCTGGGTGGCAGGAGGGGGGGGTACTGAGAGGGTCAGAGGGGACACTGTGTCTGAACTGACTCCGCTCTGCGCTGAGCGGGTCCCACTGGTGCTGGGACCGATGCCACCCGCTCTCCCTTCCCTCCCCTTCCTTGTGCTCCGACGCTGGACCGCACTGAGGGACGAGCTGAGCCCCAGCCCTCGGTGGGGATGAGTGGAGGGTCCCTGCCCCGGGACAGAGACTGGGCGCACAGTGCTCGCTCCCTGCCGCTCCTCGGGGCTGGAGGTGACACATGTGCCATTTGTCTGTGCTGCGCTGCAGCTGATGGAGCTGAGCAGAGCTGCCTCTGCCCCCGTGGCCGCCCCGTGGGGGGTGGGGGGAAGAGG